TCTGATCTCCCCTGGCCAGCCCTACTGCCCCCAACCTCCCTCCCCCGCCAGCCCTGCTTCCTGTCCCGTTCTCCCTCCCCCCCCAACCAGCCCCGCTCCCCTCCCAGCCGGTCCTTCCTCCCTCCCTTCCACAAGTGTGTCCAGTATTTTTTCTGAAGCTACCTGGTAACCCTACCCATAGACAAGTGCAGCCCCTGACCACTCACCAAAGTCTTGAAGTGCCCCGCCACCGAAAATGACTGCCCATCCCGAGCTAGACAAAGTCCCGTTCTCCCTCCCCCCCCAACCAGCCCCGCTCCCCTCCCAGCCGGTCCTTCCTCCCTCCCTTCCACAAGTGTGTCCAGTATTTTTTCTGAAGCTACCTGGTAACCCTACCCATAGACAAGTGCAGCCCCTGACCACTCACCAAAGTCTTGAAGTGCCCCGCCACCGAAAATGACTGCCCATCCCGAGCTAGACAAATCAAATCTCTGTCTGTCAAACGGGGGATGAAAAGCAGACGGGAGACACCAGAAATGAGAGGTGAGAAGACCAGAAGGCACCCCTGTGACCATCTCACCCAGAGGTTCTCTGGCTGAGAGGGGCACAAAATATATCGGGGGGGGGGCACCGGAGGGGGAGGAATGAGAAGCCGCCACCCAGCTCCGAAGGCAGAGCGAAAGTGGCAGCTGCGGGCTTGTGGGTGGGCCGATGGAGCCGTAGCAGCGCGGTGCTTGGCTGCCGAGGGAGCGTGCGGCTCACGCACGGGAAGTGAAGTGAGTCCTGACTGCGTTTCACGTGTGTGTCACTGTAACACCAGTCGGAAAAGTGCAACACGGAGGGGAACCAGCGGAACGTGGCCAGCCTGCGCACAGGCATTGGCAAACATGTCTCGTGGGCCATGCATAGATCCCAGCTTGCCCTCCCCCATTGGGATGTGTGGCAGCGGGAGGTTTGGATTACCCAATAGACAGCCTAAGCACATACTTAGGGCACCAGGAAAGCAGAGGCACCAAAAAAAAATGAGATTTTACGGTATAGTATTGTTGTTATTTTGAATTACGTATGGGAGTTACCATAATCTGTTCAGTGCTTAGGGCCTCTAAAGGTCTTAATCCGGCCCTGGGAGGAAGCTACAAATACAGAGAAACAGGCACGCGCTCGAGTACGTTTGAGAGCCACAACCTGGACCGTAGGACTTCTCTGAATTAATCCCGGTGTGAGCTAAAGCAACCCTTCTTTGGGTCCAAATATCCAGTCTTTAAAAATCCCCAGCGATAGACTTCCCGGCCGACCGTTCTCCACCCTCTCTGTTCAAATTTGTGCCCTGCTCTTTGTTAAGCTCACTAGATTGCTCTGAAAGCGAGTTTTCCTAACACCTTCTGGAGATGTTCCTGTTGGTACCCCCACGGATCACGAGCCCTTTTGGCCACCACATTGCACTCCGGACTCATGATCCCCCAGGTAAGTTTCAGAGTCGCTGTTCCCCAGGAAGGAGACATCCTGTTGTAGGCTCAGATACTATAGTGACGGTTGTGACATAAGAAACGAGAGTATACAGGTCGGACCTCCCTGGTCTGGCACCCTTAGGACCCGGCCGGTCCCCGAAGGGGGATTTTGCCAGACCAAGGGAGGTCATTTCTGGCCCCCATGCTGCTGGCCCCACCCCATGCCCCGCCACAGGGCTTCCTCATCCCCCCCGCAGCCCAGCTGAGTCGTACACCAGCTCTCACCCCCGTTCCCCTGCAGCCTGGCTGAGCCATGCACCAGACTTCCCATCTCTCCCCTACAGCCAAGCTGGGATGTGTCACCCCCTCCCCCATCCGGCCGGTCTTCCAGCTCCCCCCCCACCCCCAGCTCCCTGGGACTCTCTGGTCCCGGAACATTTGCCCTACAGCCAAGCTGGGATGTGTCACCCCCTCCCCCATCCGGCCGGTCTTCCAGCTCCCCCCCCACCCCCAGCTCACTGGGACTCTCTGGTCCTGGAACATTTGTGGTCCAGACCAAGAGAGTTCCAGTCCGTAGAGATGCCACCTGTACCATCCATACCTACCTCAAGCGCCTTTGATTCTGAGAGATTTCCTTTGGACTTTTTTGATGGCATCAGCATAACTTCATGTCCTACATCTAAGGCTTAGGGAGCTGGGGGGGTTGTCTTAGAAATCCCAGCACCCAGCTCCCCTCAGGAGCTCACCCTAGCCAGGCTGATGACGGTGCTCAAGTTCTTCAGTGAACACCACACGTTGACCTTCTAAAAAGATAATCCGGCTCCTGAGGTATTTGTGTTTCGGTGCTATGACACGGTCAATTTACAATGTTCCCGGGCGTGTCGGTCTTGTGTAACAACCACCGCAGGGCAAAGACAAATTCACAGGGCGTCAGTCGTCCAGCGCAGACAACACACGCTGCAGGGCTTTGAAAGGC